ATTCCTTGAAATAATAATTTCTGAATATTTTTTAAAACGTAACTCACTATCGAAAAAAATATAGTTTTATTCACGACTCGTCTATAATTTGATTATTATACATGATTTTATGAAATAATAATAATATTCATTATTCACTAGTGAATAATGGTTTCATTATTCACCGCTTCCGCTGATATCTCGATTCAAACTCCAAACAAGAGCTGTGCTCGATCCAAACCGGCTTGGAATGCGATTGTAAATTAGTTAGCTATCTAGTTAAAGAAAATTTCAATGTTTTGTTTCCATGTTACTTACTCGTGATACTCGTTCAATATTTTTTTGACATTAAAAATAAAAATTATATTAATATTATCTAAATTTTTTTGATAGTCCTGGATCAAGTATAGTATTCTACTCGCATATAATGGCTGTTATTCACTTGGATGATTTATGATATAAATCTTGGATGATTTATTACATAAACTTCATCCGCGTGAATAACAGCCACCATTATATGCTCGTTAAATAATACATTACTATTATACACGACGATAAAATTGCATTATCGTCTCCCGAAATTAATCCGAATTAATCTTTTCGGTGGACGATAAAATACCATTTTATCGTCTTGTATAAAAAATAACTATTAATACAGTAGAGAATGTAAAAATAGCTACTTTTTGCGCTATCGTAGAAAAAGTCCATTTTTGCTAGTCTATTGCTGCATTAAATTAAATCCCCCTTATAGTTCCTTTAACACAGTATCCAACTGAAACCATAAAAATAAATGTGCTTCACGCCGCTTGATAATTTACCTATTCAACTATTCTTCCCACCATTACTAAACACTTCTTGCTTGTATCAAGTCGTTAACAGTTGCATCGGCGCGGCGATCAATTTAAATCTAGTAAAAATCGTTTCGAGAAGTGTAGTGTTGCTTCCGACGCCATTGCCATAAGCACCAATGAAAATTTGAAGAAGCTCTAACGTTCGACAAATATCTTGTACAGTTAAGTGGATAATTCTGCTAGGAGAACAGCTGGCAACCGCGGAACGATGCACGGGATCGGGTTTATTCTCTTGTTTTTTTCTCCTGTGAACTACAATATACGATAGTCATAATCTAAAAATAGTGATTCCTTATTCTATGTTCGTTGCAAGTGATTGCTAGTACTGTACCTCAGAGTAATAAAGATTGTAGAAATTGTAATTTGTTTGAACCATTAACCTTTTCCAAGTAGCTTTTCTAATCAATTCCTCGCCTATAATTTATGGTAAAATATTGTTTAAATAAAGAGTCATGTCAAACAAAAAAATCTGACCAACAAAATGGAGGTATTTGAATAGTTTCATTTTTGTAAATATGAGAAATATACAGTATGATGTTCTCTATGGGTAACTCGGAGTCGGTTAAATAGGGAGTGTAAATATATAATAGTCGGTTAAATAGGGGCAATTTTGTGAGGTCATAAATATGCGCTTTTTAGATTTTTGAAAAAGTTGATGGCTTACTAAATATTTCGAAAAAAAAAAATTGGCAATTTTAAAAATTGTCCCTAATTCCACTATAATCTATTTTGGACAAAAAGTTTTCAGATAAAAGTTGTAGATAATCACATCCCTCCGCTTTTTTCTAAAGCCTGTCATTTTTGACATATGACACAAACATATGTTTTTTTAGATGGAAACCATAGTTGACCATGACTTCATAAAAAGCGCCATTTTTCAAGCTTTTTAGCGATATAAGTGATTATATGTTTTTTTCGAAAAGTTGCCAATTCTTATCATTTTTAAACAATTTCACTTAGTTAGCCATGGAAACAAGTTCAATCGTCGTTGCTCTCAGAAATGTGAAGCTGTCACATCCAAACTTTGTAAATTAAAATAAACAAAAATTGTAAATATGAATTTTTCAAATGAAGAAAAGCGTGTAGGATTATTGATTCAACTTTTCTTGACCATACATTTTGGAGGATACGTTGACCGGTGAATGTTACGTATTTTTAGAGAACGGTTTTCAAGACACGTTAGAAAAGTTAAATTTAGTTATAGCCAATTCTTATCTTTATTGACTAATTTCACTTAGATTGCATGGTATTCTTATTCTGTTATGATTCCTTCCTACTGAATATTCGCTTGGTCCATGAAGAAGAATGTGAAAATATAACACAATATATTTGCAGCCTCATTAACAGTAATAACTGACGTCTACAAACAGTTAGACAGCCGGGAGATATAATACAAAGTATTAGAGTATTTTTTACCAGTTTTTTGTTTGTTTGTACACTTAGTTATTACAGTTATTTTTTTAATATCCTTAGTTAGTGTTACTAATATTTATTAAAACCTGTATCGTTACTTTTTAACGTTTTTCAAAATTTTAAACAACAGTCACCAAAGCCACCTCGTGATATTAAAAAATATCATCATAAAGCAATGATAGTCAAAAAAATTGCAAATTGTTGGTGGCAAGTATATTTCGCTCTTAAAAATTAATCAAGGCATGTGTTTACATGAGTAAAAGGAAAATACTCAGGAGACAGGGTTCTAACCGAAAAATTATGTTTTAGGAACATTGGCTTACGAAATTATTGCACCGGGTGTTTTAAAATTAAGGTAAAACTTCGATTAACCCTGTATAAAAAGCCAAATACTACAATTTGAAAACTGAGTTTTTGAATTATTTAAGACGATAGTTACGGAGTTGATAGATTTATTTACAGTTTGCTAGTAATTTTAAACAAATTATAGAGTTATGCAATGCGTATGCTATTAATTAGAAAATTGTAATTAATTACTTAATCATTGAAAAGCGAGTCAATTATTACTAGATTGTACGGGCTCACGCGGTGCCCAACACATCAATTACAATTTATAACACCTGATAATCATCGTGATCATCGTCGTATCGTCGATCGAAGCGATGACGTAAAATATACATCATTCATTTATGTTCGCCTTCGTTTGTAAATGAAAGACATAATAAAAATTCTGATATTACAGATAGGTACGTTCACTTTTTCGATGCATCGATATTAATAGTAGATGATTTTAGAAGCTGTATGAATTGGTCTGTGTTTTGATATGAACATCCAGTAATCTCCTTGATTTAATCTTGCTAATTACAATATACACAATAATCATAACATTCGTGAATCTAATAAACTGAGTTTCTTTTTCTATTTTTGTGAAATGTATTCAAACATTCTTATATTTTTCAAAGAGGAGAGTGCTGAACGATTCTTGTAATAGGTGATTAAAGAGGATTGAAACCAATTGGGATATTAACATCAAATATGATAGGTACAAAGGTTGATTCTCACTCTACCTTCCGTATCAGCTCCCTTCCGTTTACATAAAATATTATATCATGTAAATGATATAATATTGAACACTATCCGTTCCGTTTCCCTTCTGTTCCATATCCTTTCCTTCCATACATTTTTTGGCGGACGGACTAAAGCGTATCGGAAACAGCGTTGTCAAGTTCTTATCTTTGTACCAACTCTGTTAACATTTTGCTGATATTTATTTATTCTTTTACCTCTTAATTAAATCTATTACCTTTTTCAAAAGATACACATTTTTAAAATAAAACTTTCGAAATGATATAAATTGTAGAATAAAAAGTATGGATATAAATTGTAAAATAAAAAGTATGGAACTGATACGGAACGGAAGCTTAGGTATAGCGTCAATACAATAAAAAATACGGAACGGATATGGAATGGATATGGCATGGAAACGGAAGGTATAGTGACAATCAACCTTAAAACGGAAGAATCAAATATTGATTTTGCTGTCTCTTTTTTGGCTCTATATTTATAAAGCTATAATCCTTACAGGAAGAAAAAATAGCTAAACAGAAAAAAAAACAGCATAAGAAACAGTAAAACAATTTATTTTTTAGTTTTTACTCTTTTTGATGTTTGTCAAAAAAGAATTACAGCAAAAATTGAAAATGACAGTAAAAACAGAAAAAAGAAACGAAAAAAAAAACGGTGGAACAGACATCAAAAAGAGTAAAAACAAAACAAACTGTATTACTGTTTTTTTGCTGTCTTTTTTTCTGTTTTTGTTTTGTCACTCTATTTTGACAGACATCAAAAAGTGTAAAAACTGAAAAAAATTTTGTTTCTTTTACTGTTTTTGATGTCTGTTGTAATGTTTTTTGTTGTCTTTTTTTCTGTTTCTGTTGTCAGTCTTTTTTGACAGACATCAAAAAGAGTAAAAACTAAAAAAATATTTGGTTTACTGTTTCTTGTGCTGTTTTTTTCCTGTTTAGTTGTTTTTTTTGCAGCTTCTCTTATACTATACAGGGTGTTTCAAAAAACATGTACCATCACTCGTGTGGAAATTCCTCACGTAAAAATAAGATTTATTTTTCCTATCAACATAGGTCGATTCTGCTTCATTTCGTAGCTACAGGGTGTTAAAGTCTTAAAGTGTGTAAGTTAAAATTATTTTTTTTGGTTCGTATCATAAATTTTAAACTTGAAAAAAATACTACTGCTATTTTTATATTTTTTTCATTACTTTCACTATATAGCTGGCTTGGTATTATCTCAAGGATAGGTTAATAATGTACGTCGCCATTATCTTTACTGGTAGCCGGTATAGTCCTAATAAAAGAAGTTGCCTTAATTTATAGGCATTTCAGCGGTAGTGCGCGAGAATGCCGATAGGTGTTAGAAAAATTGTTATTATCTCACGCGTTTTACACCAACAAGCTTTTTGTTCGACGATAATGGCACTATAGCTTATCGGATATCGACTTAATTTGTTTCGTTGTTATTTCTATGGCGCAAAACAAACCAGTAGTACCAGTATAACCGTCGTAGTCAATGTTCTGTGGTTAGTAATTCTAAGTTCGACGTTAAAAATATATTTAACGCATACTTTGTAATAACACTGACCTTAAAATGTTCATGTATTTTTGATATTCAATATATTTTGTTATAGTTGGCCGATTTTGATGTTTTTTAAGAATTTGTAGATAAATTAAAAATGTACATTACCTCTGGAGCTGTGGGGGACAGGGGAACCCCCGGATGAGGCGCCCCGATCCACCTGGTCGTGTCCGTCTGACATTCGTCCTGAAAAAAATTAAAAGCTATAAGTAATTTATAAACCAATAAAACTTATCAGTAATTAAAAAAATAAACCAAAAAAACATATGAATCTTATTTTCGAGAGCAAATTATTAATAGTACCTAAGTTGTTATGGAAACCTTTATTTCCTGTTCCGTTATTGGGATATCGAATACATCGATGCTTGTTGAGACATTAACAATTTTTAGATTATGGCCTATAACTTATAAAACCTTGAGTATTTCAAAAGTGCCCTAAAACTTTCTCATCAGCGGTGGAAGGGTCGGACATAACATGTGGCGTCACAAAAGACTAAAGGTAAGAATTCGATCAAATGCGCGATGTAAACAGAAATCGACTTGCAGAATTTGATTTGTTTTTAACGTTATTATGGGCATGTGCCTAAAGGAGTGAAAATGGACGACGGACTATTAATTTCTTTAGTGCAACAATACAATGAACTTTATAATTTGAAAAACAAAGAGTACAGTAATTAGCAACGACGTCAAAATATATGGGAGGAAATTGGGCAGATAATGAAACAACAGGGCAGATAATTTAACATATATATCTATATATTTAAATCGCAGAAAAATCAGTTTAAAATCTTTTTAAAAATACGGTTCATATTATTTTCTCTTCATATTTACATTATGGACCCAAATTCGTTTCCTTTTCTTGTTCTTTTGCTCTTCCTCTTCAAATGCACAATGCAAATAATTATTCTTCATCAGAAATACTACTCATTTCAAATTTGGGAAGCGAACGTGAAAAACACAAGTTTCGTACTAGCCCGCTTCGAGGATTGCACTAAAATGAAAATGCGGGAAGAGAATCCTAATATAATATGCGATGATAACAATTATATTGCGATTCGTCCGATGCGTCCGATGCATCCGTTGCGTCCGGTGCGAACAAATGTGCGCTTTTACCTTAAAAGAGTATTTTTTATAGATAGTAAGACGTAAATTTTTAGAATTTTTTTGTTGTTGGCAGAGACTTGTTGTGTGATGTCTCTGCGTTGTTGCATTCTCAAGTTTAAAAGTTGTAAAAGTTAATGCAGTTACTTGTTCAGTTTAAATATACATTTTTGTAATCCAGCGAGTATCGAGTTTCTTAGTTTAATTCCAAAAAAATTACCGGAATTACGCAAGAGCTCAACCAATGCTCTTATACTGAGGTATTGTGTTTAGTGCTTGCATTAAGGATATGGCTGTAATACTCTTTCCAGCGATTTCTGATTTGCTCTTCCTCTTTTAGAAGTTTTTGTGCTTTTTTTTGTTCACCATTTTGTGCCTTGATTGGGCAGCTTACGTTCTTAGTTGGGCCGTATACTTGTTTTACAGCCTCAAAGAATTTACGATAGTCGTGATGTGCGGCGTACTCTTGAATCTGATTTGCTTTTTGTGACCACCAGTTATTCTTTAGTTTGGCGCAGGTTTCTTCGAAGCGTGTTGTTGGCTGGCTTTAAAGATGTCCACCATGTCCACCAGTCTTGGATTGTGTGGATTTGCAGTGACTGCTTGATCTATACTTTTGTTCCAACAAAGCCTGTATATGTGGTTGAGTTTCGTTAAACCAATCTGGTTGTTTCTCTTTGTTGGATTTCCCCAGTATTGCTTGGCTGGTATTATAAATCGCACCCCTAAATTGTGTCCAGCCTTATTGAGCTTCCGAGATTGCGGTTATCGGTGGTAGTGCTTTTTTGATGGCTTCCCGAATGGCGTTGGCGGTGTCGTGGTTTGCTAGACTCCGTACGTTCAATCTGGTCATGTTGTTTTGCTGTTGAACCTAAGTACATATTATATTAAATAGTGTACCGGGAGCAGTCTGAAAAGAGGCTCATCCCTATAACTTTTTTATTTTTTCTTCAGATAAAAAAAACGAAATTTGGTATGTTAGTATATGACATAAATTAGGATTGATTGACGTATTCAATTGTTTTTGGTCACTTCCTGTTTTACAGGAAATGACTACCTACAACTTTTGATTTTTAAATGGCACCCTCGGTTTTTTTTTACTTTAGTCGATAGAAAATGACACTCTGAATAGATGACATTATATGTCAAATTTTGACATTTTCTCATATGGTTTATTTGAAATTGTAAGATGCGGTTAATGCGGTTAAAACGACAATTTGAATCGAAATATCAAGTGTGGTACCAAATACCGTAAAAAATGCCTTTTCCAAGTATTATTTATTAATGAACCATTCACGTTCCATTTGAAAAAATTAAGATATGATTAAAAATACAATTTAGGTTAGGACAAGACACGAAAGACATTAAACGATCAAATCTATTTTTCCAAGGCTCCTTGATTAAAAATTAGCGTTTTTAACACCGCCATGGCACTATAGATTGAAATTTAAAATACGATTTTTTTAAAACAAAAATGTCAAAAGTTGACATATGATATGTTATTCTATTCAGAGAATCATTTTCTATCGGATAAAGTAAAAAATACCGAGGTTGCCAATGAAAAATCAAAAGTTGTAGTCATTTCCGGTGAAACAGGAAGTGACCAAAAACAATTGAATACAAATCCTGGTCTACCGTCTAATCAATTGTCAACCATTTTTAGTTAAATCGATAGTAAAGTATTATACCTTTGATAAGTTATAACTCAAGGAAAGGGGACACAATAGATCTTTAAGGTCGCAGTGATTAACCCCCCTCCCACTCATTCTACATTCTACCTTTCATATATTACATTAACATATATATTAAGAAGCTACACGTAAAAATTCTAAATATTTGTTAGCATAGAAATAATTATAAGCAAGAAAACCATATATCAGATTGGTTACGGTAGTTCCATGAAAAATAAAATGTACATACGAGAACACCGAAGTAGCCTTGGGTTGTACTTTAGACACATTTTATTGATTAGTTGTAATTTGTTATATCGACATGAATATTTTAATTATATGCTCCTCACCTTATTTTACAAGTATTTCTTTAATCTATGAGAAAACTCAACTTGTGAATAAAAATAGTTTAAGCGAAAGTTCGCAGCGTAGGCTATATTCAATGAATAAATTTATTTTGATTGAAGACAATTTCTCTGTGAGATGTAAAATTGGAAAAAAATAGTAAAATAAAACAATATTTTCGACAATCGAAGCAAGTGTTTCTGAAATTTTTATAATCATATTAAAGCCCTTATAGTTTTTCTATAACACATTACATAAAATTATTATGAATAAAACTTAATCATCATCATCATTTTCAACTTATTCAACCATTTCCAATTATGGTACAGCTTCTCTCACGTATATAGATACTCTCTTGGTAGTTGGGTCCATTGGTTGTATATTGCTGGCTATGCTTATCCCTGCTAATTTCCTAATATCATGGTCCCATCTCAGGTTTGGTCTTCTTCTAGGTTTCTCCTGGGAACCAAGCTGTTACGCTTGTGGCTTGGGCCCATCTGTTGTTCGTCCTTCTAGCCAGGTGTTGTTGTTGTGTGAAGTTGAGGGAATTTGACTCTGTGGCTGACATCTACTCTATTCTTTTACGGTCTTTTTTGGGTTCATTGAGCTTTCAATGTGTGTGTTTTAAGTGTCAGGATTTCGCATGCATAGGTAATGGCTGTTAGTACACATTGGTCGAATGTTTTCTTCTTTAGACAAAGTGGCGTTCTAGATTTGAATATGATTGAGTTTCTTTCATAAGTACTCCATGCTAACTTAATTCTTCTGTTGATTTTTGGTAGTAGAGATCCCGAGCTGTGTATTAGTTGTTCTATAGTATATATGTTGGAGGCAGATGCCGAATTCGGCTTATGTCCGAAATAATTAAACATATGGCGATTTGTCCATACCATTCCATACTAAACTTGCCAGATGCGTGCAACTTCGTGGTTATAAATAGTCTTTATATAACTTCTTTGCGGAGGGGGTTAATTTTTTTTTGGTATAATATAGCAACAAAAGATTAACACCCTCCGCATAGAAGTTGAAACCAATGCAATCAAAACTCTTACGCGTAACTTTGTGGATGGAGGTAGGTATATTTAATTATAATCGCCATATGTCTAATTATTTTGGACATAGGTCGAATTCGGCATCTGCCTCCAACATATATATTCTTCTAAAGCATATACAGGTTGTTAATTTGTTTATTACTCGCGGCAAGAGCTTTATGGTTGAAATATGGCAAGCTCGGTCCGCTCGTCGATAGACGACGCGACGGGACGAGTCGGCAGAAAACCCTATAAGTGCGTGCGTTCTCAATAGGCAATGTTGCAATTCTGTTCCCCTATAAGTAACTGTCCAGTTAACAACCTGTATATATTCTTCTACAATGTCCAGTGTTGTGTTATTTATTAGAATAAAATTCATGTTGAGATCCACTTTATTGTTGGTTGTATTTAGTTCGTGAATTTGTACTTGTAGTTCTTCAGGACTATTGGCAATTAGGACTATGTCATCAGTGATTCTTAGATGGTTAAGATATAATTTATTTATTTCTAAGAAAATAATTTTAATCTTTTGTTGGTTCAGTCCAGTTGACGAAAGATTTCTTCTAGTATTGCTGTAAACAGCTTTGGGGAAAAATAATAGACAATAATATATTAATATTCACCTTCGCCTTACCAAATATGTAAATGTATAAAAAGAAGATAGTAATAAATTAATTTATAAAAGACCTGATATTACATAAAGTTCTGGGACTATTAGTATATGAAATATTTCGGTTAACCTATTTTTAAATGTTATTTTGGTAATAGGTAATTAATATTTTTCCATAGAAATATAAAACTTTAGAATTTTATTATAGCTATAAATTTTTCAATATAAAATATTTTTCATTTGGCACATTAATAGTTTATAATGAATTAAGATTTTTTTAAATATTCTAAGAAAAATTTTAAATATTTTTAAGCTCATATAATCCGAAATATACCGGGCTTATAATATTTTCGATTTCCTAATTGTTTCTGTTATCTAATGCACCCTAATTGTTTCTGTCATGTGTATACCTTTTCAACTAAATCACAC